CTATCTTTCCCTTTTCCTCCTTCCTCTCTTTCTCTCTTTCTCTGTCTATCTATAACTTCCCCTCTCTCTCTCTCTCTCTCTTCCACAAGCTCTCTGTTATTATTCAGGAACTTTGCTGACAGCTCTCCGGATAGGCAGATAAGAACGTCCTCTGAATGCCAAAGCATACACAATGCTCCTTTGGAGCGACATGTACCCACGTCTCATGGATACTTTTCGTGTACACGATCGTGTGGGAATGCAAAGGGCAATGTTTAGCTCGCGTCACATTCGCGATGGTCATAAACGATTCTAAATTTCCTTCGATCGTTCGCAATTTGTCGACTGTTACCCATCCGCAGCTCGTTTGCTACCACATAACTAGCGTCAGGATTTATTCCCTCTTATCGTTTATTAAATTATAACAATAATAACTCGTTGAGCGTAACTCATTGCATTGTATATTTTTGTATTACATTGTATTTCTCAAAAATACGACGAAAAACATTTTCGCGCAGTTTCAAAATATTCTTTTATAATTTCAATTATTTTAGAAACTAAAGGCCATGGCACATAGAAAAACTTAAGACGTAAGACTTAAAGCAAATTGACCAATCATAGTAAAGACCATAAGATCACACACATAACGTAAGCGGTAGCAAATCCAACATGTTGATTTCCTTAACTACTTAAGTTTTATAGGTCTTAAATTTTTCTATGTGCCATGATTCTTATGCCTGTGGCACACGATGCATGTTTTCTTGCTGGATTGCTTGCGTTTTAGTAAATTACTACAAATTCTGCGTTCTATATGTATAGTCAAATTTTAGCAATTTATTAAAGCACAAGCAATCCAGCAGGAAAAAAGCATAATGTGCAAGCTCTACATTTTTAATTACACTTCAAATTAATTGCTATTATATATTGTTCTTATTAACAATAATTATTTTTCATTTCTCGAAAAAAATTTTGTTTAGATATACATTAAAATATTTTAAAAATTTGTTAAAAATAATTATAATAGAACGACAGCAAATTAATATCATCGGGCATGTTTCATAGCAAAAATTTTAATATATATGTCGATAAAGCTAATTTAAAAACTGGCCATTTTTCATAACGATTTAATACGAATGGTGTGATCTAAATTGTCTGCGCGCGACCTGACAAATTAAGATCAGATAAAAAGATGATCCTCCAGGCTGCTGACTTTCAGATTTTCATAAGACGTTGCTTCCTCTTCTCTTCTCCATTGCCATTTCACTGTTCCCTCTTAGTTCTTCATACTCTTCAGCCCAGCAGCAATTTTCTTATCCGATCGACCAATCTGCTCTTTTCTCGCTTTCTTCCGATTGAAGATTCTCGATGTTCATATGAATAAACGAAATCCCGGAAACTAGTTATTTTGCACGTTAAATTTGATATTTAATCAAATAAAATATGTATTTGCAAGTTTAAAACGATTGAAAAAAATTATTTATAAACAACAGTAAAAATAATATTTTATAAAATACAGTATTAAACACATATTAAAAAATAAATTTTCAAAATTTTTAACATAATATACTTATTAAAATTGAAATCTGATCGAATCGAAAAACCAGCTAACGTGATGACTTTATTAATTTCGATACTTTATGCATACTCTAATCTCTAAATTCTTTAGAGTAAAATCCAATTTTAAAGAGTGGAAACTGAACCAGTCTTGAAAAAGAATGGCTTAATGTTCAATATTCAAGAGTGACAATTCGCTTTAAAAGAAAGTATTTACTCTTATTCTTCACCACTTATATTTGAATCTATGGTACAGAATGGTTTTTTCCTGCTGAATTGCCTACATTTTACTAAATTACTAGAATCGCGCATCACGCAGAATGTCTAGTAATTTACTTTAAAGCGCAAACAATTTAACAAAAAAAATCGCATGGTGTAATGTAATTTGCGTAACGTATCGAAATAAAATAATTTTTTTTACGCTCTTTGTGATCTACAAGTGCTCATCACTTATAATAGATTTATATATCAACGACATAACATCAATCTCCACTCATCTTCGATCGTGAGATTCATGAGTTGTGTTTTGCCCGCGTTGACGCGGTAGAATCTGCACGACATTCGCGGATACCAATGGCACTCGAAACAAGCTCCATAAATCCTTGTCTGCTCCGGCGTTGCTTCCCGAGTCGCGGCTCGGTTCGGAAGGCGGAGCCCGATAACGATAACGAGAGGGATAACGGTAGGTAGATACCTATATAGCGCGGGGATAAGAAGAGAGGTTGCTGCGGCAAAGTCTAGATTCGATGTTTTGCGAATGAACGTCGACCCGGATGGATCCTTGTAAGACGTTTT